CACCTTTTGGAACTGCATCTGCGTTCAATTCTACTTCACGTTGTAGTTGTACAGAACCTTTATTTAACTTAGCAGTAGTAGGCATATCCCTCATTTCATCATGATCAACCAAAGATAAATGTGAAGTATCATGATCATTATCATGAATATTCACTTTACCGTCAACTTCATCATTTTCAAACTCTTTAATAACAGAAGTAGACAATTTTGGTTCCTCCTCACAAATCATTAAAGGTTTTATATCTTCACTCTGACTAGTTATACTTTGTAAACTTGTGGAGTCAGAACTCCACTCTGAAGCAGTAACTCTATTCTGTGACACTCTATTCAACAACGGCTTACCAGTTGCAACTACAGACTTCTTCACAACACCGTTATCGTCACACAATTCGGAGTCAGGCCTGGAGTTTACATTTAGCTTATCACTGAACTTGCTCACTTCTTCACAGTTCACCTTTGTATGCACCTCTTGCAAACGTGTAAAACACAACCGTGTTTGTCTTGCATCTTGTAACTTATCTGTTGAGGATGTACTACGAAACCTGTTACACTCACTAGGTCTATATGCATTACTAGACATCATGGAGCCTTCTCGATATCCACCTCTCTGAGGCCTATTCGTCATCAATGATTGCATTTTCCTCTCAGACTGCTCTATTCTAGGGGTGAGATGTAATAGACTGGCGAACTTGCTCATAGATTGATTGACACTAGTATTTACCAGTTTCAGGATATCATCAAATTTTGGCTCGATACCCTCATCCTCCATACGGGAGCTCATCTTCACCCACTTCCTTTGCAGTCGAGTAGGTAGGCGTCTTGCTATTACTTCTAGTATAAAACTCGAGTTGAGGTCACTCATGCGATTCATCGAAATCATTGCATTCTTGTAAATTAGCAAATTATCTAAAAACTCAGTGAGTGCCTGGGAGTCATCCTGTAATTGACCACCATTACCCTTAACAGCCTCGAATAATTTCCCTGCAATCATCGAAGGTCTTCCAAACCTTTGACGTAATATGCTCATAGCCTCGTAGTAGCCCTCTTTTGGCTTCATAAACTTACAACACTGTATAGCTCTTGCAGCATCTCCAGTGCAATACCTCATCAAATACATTAACTTCAATTCATCATTTAATAGAAAACTACTCAACATGATCTCAAACTCCTTTACAAATTGTAAATAATCAGCCGGGTTTCCATCAAAACACCGTGGTTCAAATTTAGGGAGTTTGATGTTCCTATTATCCCTGAACGGCGAAACAGTAACATCAACCATGTCATGCTTAACATCAGACACATCGTTACAATTAACAGACAAGTCACCATGACTTACTTTCCTGTTTGCATCCAAGACACTCTGTCCCTTCTTTGACCCAGGCATTGTTGAACTTGACCCAATTCCAAAAAAGTTCCAGATATTGCTTGTTCAAAGAGGACTTGACCGGCACCAGGAAAGATGAACGGTGACTATCCAAACTTTCACCAACTGTTTCAATCCGCCAGATCTGTTTCCATCGTCAGAAACTGTCAATCACGTCTCATAAACCGTTAATGCCCAGCTCTCGCTACGCTCGGGCCCACGCTGTTCCTTTGAGTTTCAGAAACGCTTAGTTATAACGGACGCAAAAACCAAAACACCGATCTGCCGCTTGATATTTGTTTATTGTTACACCAACATATAAAACGAATAAGCGAACAAAGGTCTGAAAACAAATATTACAATAATAAATCATTGTATTACTCCTGACGATGTTTCACTCTTCTTTCTGAACAGAGACCAATGAGACGATGACTGTCGTATTGATGCCTCCGCGAAAATTGGGGAAGTTGATTTTGAGCAAACAACCAAGAATTGATCGTTCAATCTTCAACTCCATTGACACGCCCACTCCTGCAGTTACAGACGTTACTACTGAGCTCTTTAGGCTGAAGATATCAGTGAATATGGTATTAAAATCGAAAAAGAAGTAACCACGTCGCTTTGGACAGCTAGATTTCCCACCGTGTCATAAAGTCACATATCCTACTACTGAAAGAAGTGGGGCTTGTACCATCTACCGACTCGCGACAGAAAAGAAAAATAACCATAAAAGCCTACTGGAAAGTGAATAACGGGGGGTGTTAACCTTTTATACTCAGTCAAAAACTTTAACACACTGCATACTACAAACAACATACAATTAATCCTAGCAACACTCCTTTGTGAGTCAACCACAGCTACGACAGTCGACAGTCGACATAATGACATAGGGATCAGGTCAACGTTGTCAGAAGCTCATGACAGCGGCACCAGTGAAGCCGCAAGTTGCATCATTAACTTAAACAAAGGCACTTTAACGATTGGAGTTGTTTACCGAAGTCCTGATAGCCAAGCTGATGACTTCGTTCTAAATCACTTGAGGGTGTGGGGTAGTAGAAATAGGTGCCTGATTGTTGGCGACTTTGACGCTCCACATATTAATTGGGGGGAATTAAACTCCACTAGTTTGTATACCTGTTTCAATAGGGAGCTCACATTGACAGTGCTTGAATGTGCACTCGTGCAACATATGCATGCACCAACACGGTATCAACCTGAACATGATCCATCTACTCTAGACTTGGTATTGACGCACCAGAAGGAGGACGTTGGTAACATTAGGTGCCTTCCGCCGCTTGGCAGCAGTGACCACATAGTCATTGCTTTTACGTTTAGGATTCATTCTCTCATGCACAGGCCAAAATCTGCTCGCCCAAACATTTGGAAAGCGGATATACAAGGAATCCGGAACGCAGCAACTGCGGTTGACTGGTCAGTTGATACAAGTCAGACTGTCGAGGAAGCTTGGGTAGGATTTAGGAATACACTAGATCGTGTCACTTCACCTTTTATACCTTGGTACACTCCTCGAAAGCCGTCGCATGAACCTCCTTGGATCACTAGTGAAATAAGGAGGTTATTAAGACGGCGAAAGAACCTATGGGACCAATTTGTTATGACAGGAAGGGAAAACTTCCAGAAAGACTACCGCAAAACTCGAAACCTCTGTAAGTATGCGATTTACAAGAGTCGTATAGAGTACGAGAGACGATTAGTACTAGATTGCGTTCATTACCCAAAAAGGTTTTACTCGTATATTAAACGTAGGACTAAAACTAGCAGTGGTATACCGTCACTCATAACCATTAGTGGAGAAGCGGCTGAGTCAGACGAAGGAAAGGCTGAAAACCTCTCTGAATACTTCTGTGACGTCTTCTCGTCTGATAGTACCACCCAGGGATATGGCGAGGTCACTGCCATCGCCACTCAGATGCCCTCAATTGTGGTAGAGCACACAAAGGTTCTCAAACTACTGTCTAAACTGAAGCCAGGTAAATCACCTGGGCCGGATGGACTTCACCCTAAGCTGTTAATTTCCTTGGCGGATATAATATATATTCCGCTTACGGAGATTTTCCAAATATCTCTGACGCAGGCTAAGCTACCCAGGGACTGGAAGGATGCCATTATAAGCCCTATCTTCAAGGACGGGGATAGGCAATTGGTATCTAACTACAGGCCGGTAAGTCTGACATGCATTATTGCAAAGGTATTGGAAACTATTATAAGGGATCAACTATTAGCTTATGTTGAAACACATGGCTTGTTGGCTGTTGAACAGCATGGATTCCGACCAGGACGATCCTGCTTGACAAACCTACTTTTGGCTAGGGAAGACTGGGTTGAGGCCAGAGATAGGGACCATCTGTTGGACGTGGTTTTTATTGATCTTAGCAAGGCGTTCGACAAAGTATCCCACTTAGGTCTCCTTAGTAAACTGAAAGGTTTCGGACTAGACCAGTGCCTATGTGAGTGGTTTAGAGATTACTTAATGGATAGAAGGCAGAAGGTTAGAGTTAACGGTGTACTATCAGGATGGAAAGCAGTATCCAGTGGAGTGCCCCAGGGAACTGTATTAGGTCCATTGCTATTCCTATTATACGTTAACGAATTACCAGGGATTCTTTCTTCATCTTCATTATTATTTGCAGGTGATATTAAGATATGGAAAACTGTAAACAATAACGAGGATAGGTCGGCCCTACAAACTGATTTAGATAAATTAGCTGGGTGGTCAAGCCTATGGAGTTTGGAAATGAATGCTAGGAAAAGCGCGGTAATGCACTTAGGTCATATGTCTTATGCGTCGTACTCCCTAGGGGACGCAGAACTACCTGATGTTAACGAACAGAAGGACCTAGGAATCATTGTCAGCAATGATTTGAAAACAACTGCAAATTGCAATGCAGCCGCAGCTAAAGCTTTTCGAATGCTATGGGCAATTCGAAGGGCTTTCAAACGATTAGACGAGGGCATGTTCCAAATACTCTACGCAACATATGTCAGGCCTCATCTAGAATACTGCATACAAGCGACGAGTCCATGCTTCAAAAAGGAGGCACATATTCTGGAAAGAGTACAGAGAGTAGGAACAAAATTAGTTAGTGGTATCTCACACCTTCCTTATGATAAGAGGATGGAGCACTTAAATCTCTTCCCGTTATCATACCGAAGGAAGAGAAGCGACTTAATTTTAGCATACCGTATACTTAAGGGTGATTTAGGAACTGACCTTTCTAACCTTTTCTCCCCTTCTAGGATACATTTACGGGGTCACCGCAAAAAGGTGCTCAAACCAAGGACGATTAAAATACGTGCAGAATTTAGATTCTCTCACAGAGTGGTCAACGATTGGAACTCCTTACCTGATTCAGTAGTATCAGCTCCATCGGTGAACGCTTTCAAAGAGAAGTTAGATCTCTGCAGAGATATACTTTGCAAGGATTAACACAGGCCACAAGAGCCTTCTATCCTTATCATCTGAATCTGAATGTGAGTCGAATGGGGGGGGGCGAACTAGGCAGAATTTTACCGAAGACCGGGAACTTTTACCTCAAAATCAAGAAGCGATAACAAAGATATCAAAATCGTTTCCACTAGCTCGTAAAAATGACATTGGATATTGGGATCTGGAACTGCATCTGCTGCCACCAAACCGCGTTACTCAACGTCGTACGCTCCTATGCTCTTGAACAACTAAGTAGATTGGATATTAATTCCCTGTCACAGCTTTTCAACATTTTATTGGGACGATAGATAATAAACAAATTGTGGTGAAATTTTCTTGGAAGGTAAATACACAAATGATTAATTGGGACGATATGATCGACCTAAGTGGACAATTTTGAGGGAAAATGATGCATTTCCCTAAAATTTCCTAAAAACCCTTACATTAATGAAATGTAAATGAATTGATTTACCCTTAATTACTTGCGCTTTTTTACTTGGAGATCTATGCATGTATATATGTCATATATTGCTTCATTTGTTGTCGATAAGTGCAAGCTTACCCCAGCTAGCATTATTTTCGGGCGCATTGCAGATTTTTTGGAGCGAAACAATTCGGGTGCATACACTTACGTGGAACGGTGCCCCTAAGCCTCCCACAGAAAATCTGTAATGCGCCCGAAGTCTGCCCCGAAAACTTTGCAATGCGATCTAACTTACTGTGACGTCACGGTCAGTACTGACTAAAGCATGAAACAATGCGCCTACGGTTCGGCATCTAACCCTTAGTCGGCAACTAACACGGAGTCAAATCTATCATGTACACAGGTCACCTCAAAAAACAACAAACTAGCAGTAGTTCAGCGACTCAAGATATCAAAAAGCAGTTAATTTTAATTGAACACATATTTAACAATCTTGGCAAACACATTTACAATCTATCGACATGTCATAGATGTAAAACATCCTATAAATCACCAGAACAATTCATGCGTGTGCTCTCGGCGTCTGGTGTGTTCTCTTTGTTTACGTCGGCGGTGATGTGAAAATAAAAATTTGAAAAACTTAAGACCTACTAAAGGGGAAAGCCGTCGCTTTTTCATCCCCGATTTCAGTCTGCAATGCGTCCGAAATCGTTTCTAGCTGGGTTACAACAATTCTAAACTAATTCTAATCTATGTGCGTCGGTGGCATAGCGGTTAGGACGCTCGACGGTCATGCACATGATCCGGGGTTCGATCCCCGGCTGACTAACTTTACCTAACTTGTCCAGCAATAAGACTGGTAAAGAGGGAAGGTTGGGCATGAGGCTAGCAACCCCATCCTGTAAAATAAACACTGCTACAGAAACTTCAAGTCACTAGCTTGAAGCCCTATGTTCCACTGGGAACGTTAAGGAAATAAAAAAATTCTAACATATGCGTCGAAAACGCCTTTTTATGGTAACCGAATATTTTATCTACCTGAAATGGACCCACTAGGAACTGAAATGACACCGGTAGATCTTAAAAAGAGCATATAACGCCTAGTTAATGCAATGAAACCTTAAAAGTAATATTTTCAGATGAGATAATGCCTTCAGTGCTGAAATAAAGCTGAGTAAATTGCCACCATGTGCTTAATTAAGTCTTCGTTCTAAAGTAATGCTAGTCAGTGCTTAATATGTCTTGTGAGGGCTGGAACAACGCTGATAAGCAAACCCAGTGTTCTCTGAGCCAGTAGGTTCTGATCTGAAAATGTCTAGAAAAATCACAGGGTGCTGAACTAGTGCCAGTCATGCTGAAAACTAGCACTGCGTTCTAGTTTCTGCGCCTAATTAGACCATTTTGGAAAAGATTCAGAATTTACTCACCACAGGATGCTAGAGTTATTTCGGAATGAGGGAGAATTAATTCAGAATTGTAGTAAGCCTGGGTAGTAAAAAAGTGAGGGTCATAAATTACGTATTGGTTGTACAACAAGGATATCACTTAAACTTAGAGAATGTCTTTATGAACTAAAAGATTCTGAGATCACATTAAGAATATGAACTCGACTGTTTTAATTCAATGTGAAACCAAGGCTATATAAACTTTTAACATTGTGGAAAAATTTTGGGCACTGGGTATGTGATATTCATCCTTGTAAAAGTTTGTATATTTACCAATGAGTGAGAAACAAAACAAAGTGTTAACTGACGTTTCGCTATTAAACAATATATAAACAGCCATAAATAAATATACAGAATTCATAGCTGGGTCGTCAGGATGCTGATAATTAATTGCTGCAGACTTTTGATGGTATAGCATAAAACTGTTGTAAAACCGCACAGATTAGTTCACTCTATATGAACTCCCATATCCACTAAGTCGTGTTTTTCCATGCTATTATTGTTCCTCCTGTACATTTCTGCTCATTATAGTCCTTTTCAATCTTTTGTCTCTCTTTAGTCTACATTTGTGTGCTACGCGGGGTGTGGCATCTTAGACTGCTGCATTTCTTTGTGAAGTCCTATATGGAAACTGAGTCAGTCGGACCTATCGACCACTTCGGGCGGTTCACCTACGAAGATAATTGCGACTGCCGGCTCCTACTAGTCGTTGCATAGCACATACCGTGCTTACAGATATTGGTTACTAACTGATTTAGTGCAATTTTGGTGGTCCGAATGTTGTTTCACAGTAAGATGGTATGTTCCACACACTCGAGATCGAAAAGTCTTTCTCCCAAAAGCAGATCTACACCACCACTATCACGCATGGGTCCTGGAGTTGCCCCCAGAATGTTACCAATGGCAATATTAAAGGGAAATAGTGAGATTGGGCAGCCCTATCTGACCCCACTGTAGGTTGAAAACAGCAGTGATATCTGAGGCGTTTCTATGTAGTGCTTTCAGGATGCTAACAAACTTTCCAGGAACACCTCTATAACTATCAGAGCGCATCTCAATTTACCTTATGACCCTTCACTAACTGATCTTAATAATTCTATGCTGCCTATTGTTATCCTGCTCGCTTTAGTCTTCACCCCTCTCTGTAAGTAATTTTGGCTACTTACTAGTGACTGACTACAGGATGAAGTTCCCTGGAGTTCTAGTGTAAAGCAATAGCCAGTATGGTGCACCGAGTTGGGTATGAAGACATATACTCTCCGATGACATTGTCTTGCGAAATGGGTGAAGTTTAGAACTCATGGGTGATTAGATTCTGTCTCACTGTCTGAATGATCCATGAGCTCACCTCGTAACCTGACTCTCAGTGGAGCATATGGGTGCGTGCTGTTGAAGAATGTCAGGACCAGGGTGAAACAGTTGTCCAGTACTCATTAGTTTTCAGTGATTCTTTGAATGATATCAGTTTGTGATCTAACTTGATGCCAGTCAAATTCCTCCAAACCAACACTTGAAAATGTAAGGCGCATTTTGCCTATAGATTATTTGCAACTTCCTTATCTGTATACATTAGATGATTTCTAGAAATAGCTTTCATGTATCTTATGTACTTATTTTCTGTTGCTAACTACTGACAATCTGATGAAATCTACACATGACAAGCTAGCTCCTATAAACGACTTGGTACATCCGAGCGTTGGTAGACTGTGGCATTCCTCTCAAAATGCTATCATGCGGTCACACGTTCATAACATCTGCCAAGTAATTCCTTTTAGCTGTCATCATGCTCCTGGCGTGTTCCTCACAAAAGTGAAAGAGCGAATGTCGACATCTGCCACTTACAATTGGATGGGTGTACATGCTAGTCTACCTCGGGGAGCAGGGGAACCCTGTTTACAAACCTATGATGTACATGGTCCTCAGGATCCGTGACAATTGGATGGCAAATGAACCTGTTTCTGACACTGGCGACCGTGGAAACGTAGCTCGTAATGGTGATCCACTGCCTTGTGGATGTGACTTCAAGTCATAAGTTCGAGTGGTTGGTCCCCTAAGACAACTATCTGCTTCTGTCTGAGCACCCAGGTAGTATCCCAGCCCTTGCACAATTTACGAGATTTTGTGTGGTATATCCCTTGGTGTCTGTAATGCACCAAGTTTGTTTGTTAATAGTAATATTGATCTATTTGTTTGGCTAGTACTATTATTTTTAGACTCATCATATATTCTTATAATATTGATTCTGTATATTGGTTTAATTCCAGAAATCTGTTACTTCTGATTGTATGAAAGATGAATCCTTCAGAGTCTTTACCGCCTGGTTGGGAAATGCGATTCGATTCGAGAACAGGAAGATGGTATTTCGTAGATCATAACACCAGGTCTACACAATGGGAACATCCTGTAACAAATAAGGCGTATTCACCTCAACCAACTAGAAATGTTAATATCAATAGTCATAATAATAATGATAATAATGGAGACCAAGATTGTGAACAGGTAAGTTTTATTTGATACTAACACACTGACTACTATTAAAGCAGGCAGCTAATGTAAATATTTCTAACTGCGAAAGTGTAATCGCTGATGTCATTTCAAAGGCACGTGCTCTACAACCAGAAATAAATCGTTTTGAAGGTAAGTGATCGAAAATTCTCAGAAAATTATGAGGCAAAGCGAGCACATAAGTTGAGCATATACTATATAATAATTACAGTTACTAATGTTTCGTTCAATGTATTTGTAGCCACCGTCTACAAGTATTCATTTATTTTTTTGTTTCGTATTTTAACTATTATTATTCCTTCAAGTCTTGGGTAGAACAGAGGTCTTCAAAGTCACATCTTCATTTTACCCTCTTCTCTACACTCCTTTTTCTCTTGCTCCGCGATTAACCATAAGCTCTCACCTCCTCACGCGATCTCGTCCGTGCCAGCCTCGGACCAACACACAACTCGTCATTTCCCACTTAGGTTCCAGTCGAGGCGTGACCTGACGCGCGATGTCACCATTTCCTTCTGAATATTTGTCGGCCAATAGGTTCTTAATTGATTCTTTATCAGAGTTCCTTGTTTTCGTTTCTGGCCAGCTGTATGATCTTCATTGTTCAGGGAGCGAAAGCAAGCAAAAGTCTCCAACCTGTTCGAAATGCCTTTAGTTACGGCCACGCTAAGTTTCTGAACAATATAGTATAGAAGAACTGACTGACTTCACATTAGCGGTGAAAATTCGGATTTTGTTCTTTCTGTGTAGTGCAATGGATTTCCAAATTGACTTCTGACTAATGAAAGTATGTCTTGCTTTTCCGATCGTGCTTTTGACATTCATATCTGTGCCACCTGTAGTTGAAATGATGTTGCCCAGGTGAAGTAGGTGAGATAAGTGACTTTCAGATTTCTCCATTTGATAGTGATTGACTCTTCTTGTTGTTGATTAAATATCTTCATCACCTCTGTTTTCTCTATGCTCAATTGAAGTCCTGTCTTCACCTGCTGCTTCTTCTACCAACTTGTTAGTTTTCTGATGTAGATCAATTCAATGTTATTATTAACCTAGGATATTGAGAAAGATAGGAGTCTTCTGTAGTCACTGTTTTCCTCTCTTCAGTGGTGTAGCTTTTAAGTAGAACAGAAATAACACGGTAATCAGTAATTTATTAGTATGTATCAGGCTGTGAGCCATACTTTTTGTGTATGAGTGCTGATGATACTGTCCAACGCGATTCGAACCTAAAGCGCATTGCCTGAAATTGATCTGTCTAGGCTTTACATTTTGTCTTCCCTTGTAACAAAAACAAAAAGTTGGACCAGAATGTTGAGTGTCAGTTTACAAATCCTGTTTACTTAATTTATCACATTTGTTATCGGTTTGATTCAATGGCATTATTAAAACAGAGTTTATTTGAAAAATGTTGTGACATATTTATGGGATACATTTTGAACAGTCTGACTACATATTCACTTGTTAGGTCACTTTGTGATAGAAATTAACACTAACCTCCTCAGTGATAAAATCAGTTAGGAATTATGAAGGCAGGCTAAGAGTAATAATAATTTTTCTCTGTACACAGGGCAGGGTGGAGTTATTTTATGGATGGCTTTCGCCTTAGAGCATTACCATGTGCTCACCTGACGGTTTCGTATAGATAATCTTGAAGGCTGTTTTGATATCATTCTCATGATTCACACCAATAATGTGTTTCACTGTAGACGAGACTGGTAGTCTGCCGTTTACGTCTGTTGAGGTTTGAAGCTGGTTTTTATTTCCCATGCTTATTCATGTGTCTACACATATGTAAGTGCGTATATAATTTGGGATGTGACATAATCACTTCAGCACCGTTGATGCCTGTAGTAGAGCATGTTTTTGGCTTTTTTGATAATTGCAAGTCGCGCTACATAGTAAGTTCCGTGGATGACAGAATTTAGTCGCTGTCTTAAAATCATACTACTTATTTCCCCATTGTAAGGTAATTTGACGTAATTTAGGCCTATCTTAGGAACAGAGTAAATTTGAAGCTTTGGAATTAACTATCCTCCTCAAAAGACTCCAAAGAATGTTCGATTTCAGCAAGTGTAGTCAGTTGTATAGGTACGCTGAATCTTCTTTTATCTCTTTTATCGTAATGAACAGGAACTGAAAATTAGAATATTATCCTGTTCAAGTAGGCTTTCTGTCAATCGATCGCTTTATTGAACCATCCGACTCAAAAATATGTCTAGAAATGCAGCTTAGTTGCTACTTCTTCACGTATAAAGCTGATTTGATTTTGCACAGAGCTAAGTCTATCCACTACTTATCGCCTATGACGATGATTTCATCAACGTTTTCCACATGACTTTGAAAGCTCTTTTATTTCATCTACGACCTTTGAACCAGGCCTCTGAATCAAAAATTGTATATTTCAAAATACCTATTGGTGAATTTTATATTTACTATATTATTAGTGTGCCTTGGCGGTTCAGTAATTGAATGCGCTCACCAATGACACACGTGGTCTCGGTTCGATTTCCAGCCGACGCCCTCCTAAATCTCGTCTGGTTCATTAGCCGGTAGTAATCCCTAAGAATGATGGAACGTTGAGCATGAAACCAGCAATCCCTATCCCTAAAAACAATACTATGACTACTGAGACTCCAAAACCATGTGGCCCAATGTCCCACTCGGTATTCAAGGGATGGTGTAAAGTTAGAATATAAGAGAGTTGGTAACGGACATTTTTATTAAAGAAAAAGACACCGTATTAATACATTTTTAACCACATTAAAAGTTGGCTAGGTCTGATTGGTTGGCTGTTGGCCAAAGGTTAAACAGTGGGACGAAAAAGTGTCCAATGAGATTATCTCATGTCCACAACGTAAACTAGATCCAGATTTGAGGAATAAGCACTTATAGCTCTGCAGCTGCTGCTACAGGACTGGACTACGTCAACTCCTAGCTTAGTGATAGGGAGTGAAGTGATAGAACATGTTGACCACTTCACCTATTTGGGAAGTTGTATTAGCACCAACGGACTGATCGGCGACGAAATCTCAGCACGGATCCAATAAGCTCGAGCTGCTTTCGCTGACTAACACCATCTCTGGGGTAGGCGTGACATCTGCCTATCAACCAAGGGCCGTGTGTACTGCTCAGCAGTTCGCTCCGTCCTCCTCTATGGCTCTGAAACATGGCCAATACGAGTTGAAGACATGAAAAGGTTGACTGCTTTCGATCATAGATGTCTGCGATCTCTGTCTCACGTTAGGTGGTTTAATAAGGTAAGTAATGTTGACGTTAGCCGTAGAGTGTTGGGCAAAGAGGGAAAATCAATCGACGAGGCTATAAAGTTACATAGATTGAGATGGCTAGATCACGTGGTGCGCATGCCTAACCATCGCCTCCCCCCGCCGACGGGCATTACTAGCTGATATCGAGATGCAGGTTGGAAAAGGGTAAGTGGTGGCCAAACAAAAACATGGTCTCATCAATCCATGAAATCCTTGACAGTTAAACTGAGTCAGTCAGGTAGGGAGATGCAGACTTCCCGGTTGGGGCCCTCGGGACTCTAGGAATCAATGGCTGGAGACAATAGGTGACATGGCTCAAAATTGTTGTCAATGGCCAGCGCACATGTATTCAGTATCTGTAATCTTTCATATTCCTTTCTACCATTACCCATTATGTTTCACTCTTATACTTGTGAAACTCTATTAATTCTCTCCACTCATCTTCTTGTCTACCTTTGTGTGCTATTTGGAACGTGGCAACTCGAACTGGTGCACTTCGGTGCCAAGTTCTATGTTGAATCCAGATAGGCAGAGCTCTGCAGCCATTAACTTAAAATGTTGATTTCCATTTTGACTGCTTCCTATCAATCTGCATCTATACACTTCTCATAAATCTTATCCGCAACACATCCCAAAATGGTTTTATTTACATAATTAAATTATTTTTTATCATGCGATTTCATTGGTAATAATAATGACAACAATGCATTTTCTCTATCTCTCCGGCATTAGTGTTGCTTGCAAAGAAAGCCCGTAAGTTAGTTATATAGCATAAATGTATACATGATAGATTTTCAAAGAGTGAACCAATCCACAAACCAATCCTTTTTTCTAAACACTGTAATAACCTTTCCATAGGTTCACCTCGGAGTAAAGAGTACCGATATCTTATGGAGAGTATGGAACAAATGATATTAAATTTGGATGCATTAAACATGGATGGAAATGAAGACTATAGATCAATGCGAAAGGATGCTGTTAGAGAAATTCAACAGTTAATAGAAATGCTGGATTATCGTTCACAGATTTCTACTACTCAAAATGGTCAGCAACAAGAAGAAAAAGAACAACAACAACAATCATAAATGGTTATCTCCTCCGTCTCATCTTCCCTACCTACACTCTGTGTATCTTTAAACCAGGCTATATTTACTTTACCCTTTACATTGCTGAGTAAGTTGATTTTAATTGGTGTCACTTTTGTACTTGTTATTTTCTTAATGTAGTTAATTGTCGAGACAGTGGATACTCCACCAGTGATCCAGAGTCTCTAAAGTCGCTTCATTTTTTCCGGGGAGAGGGTGGAGTGAGGTGTGTGTTTAGGCAGCAAGATACTATCTAGATATATTATGGCTGTATGATATAACCGTTCTTTGAGGAAGTTATGAAAAGATGTTTATGTTCCATTTCCCTTATTAATTGATATAATATGAGTGATATATAGGTCAGGGATAGACTGTTAAGTAAGTAAAGTTAGTCGATGAGGTTATGAAGTCACATAGATTAAGTTGGCGAGGACACGTGTTGCTGATCCCGAAATACTGCCTTCCTTGTGGAGCAATGTTAGTTGACATAGAACTAGGTTGGAAAAAAGTTAGAGTTGGTCAAATCAGAACCTGGCATTGAACCATAAAGTCACTGGCTGATGACCTTAATTACGTGAGGAGGTTTAAACTGACTTGCCGAGGTTTTCAAAACTCTAAGAATCAATGGCTTGAGACTGTTGTTGATACGGCTCGAAACCTTTCTGAATAGCGCAGGCGCATTCACCCTCCGTGATCTCCCAGATCCGCTAAATCGTCATATTTTCCCATGTTACTATTCTTTCACCCTCACATATCCGCTTATCATAGTTCTTTTAAATCTCTTTTATCTCTCTCTCTTGTGTCTATCTTTATGTGGTATATGGAGTGTTGCAGCGTGAACTGCTTCTTTTCTACGCAAAGGTCTTTGTTGAAAGTCAGTCAGCAGTCAACAAGCGGTGGCTCTCATGGCCCATTTGTCTAATGGATGACGCTTTAGAGTTTAGAACTTGGGCTCGAGTCTTAGTGAGAACAGCGTCATTCACTGAGGATACTGGTACATCCAACTGACGAGTTTCAGATAGAAGCATGCGATTATCTTTGTTCCCATTTCTAGCAACCACCAAACAAGTCACTTTGATTGATTACTGTTGTTTAGCTGTATGGTATATCTAATATATAAATCGTTATTGATTAGAGCTGAAAACTCTCTTAATATAAGGGAGCATTATGTTAAGACTGTGTAGTCGAAAATGGAGGGTTAAATTTGTGGAAAGATGTTGTTTTTCTTCTATCTCTGAGTTAGCTTTTGTCACAAATTACTGACTGACTAAGTCTTCAAGGTAAAGACTCGCACAAAACTGCAGCAATTCAAGTTGTTATACCCCATATACCACACAAAAGTAGCGAAAATGAAAAAAATTCAAAGGAATTATAATAAACGGAAGCGTACGGGAGAAAAAAAGAGCAATGGGGATTTAATGAATCTGGAAGATTACAAAGAATGAATGTATCTGTGTCATTGAGCACGATTTTCAGCCTTATCACCAAGTCTCCAGCTATTGCATTATAGTGTCTGAAATCAGTCTACAACTATTCAGTCTCCCTACGCAGCTGAAACCAACAGTCAAAGAAGTTATAGATTACTGGCAGGTTTCGATTTAGCCACCATTGACTCTTTTCCAACGTAATCTGATGTCATTTTATACTGCGAACTTCGTCTTCCTCTCTTTATCGAAATGATGTCTTTTTATTTTTTAAAAATTGAATTTGAGATTTTCCCGTCGATTGGTTGGACCGAAGTGCTCAGTCTCAGGTGGATAACGCTCTGGCGTTCGAAACTATGAGCACTGGGTTCGAGCCTCGGTGGAAACATCATCACTCACTGAGAGTTGCAGGTACATCCAGATGATGAGTCCCGAATAGGACGAAATGCGCATCCTGGATTCTACTGCTAGTCACCGTCCACCAATTAAATAGTAATCTGATGTCTGTTAGCAATTGCTAGTCGAGGAAGGTAATGGGTTGGCATGCGTAACACCATCTCAATCCTTTGCGCTTTCAAATATCATTGACTGACCATCCCTCATTACCTGATACTTTACGTCTAACCTCAAAATTATTCACCCCATTCTGCCATAAATGGTGATGATGATAGAAACTATAAATCATAGGCTTTTGAAATGTAACTGTAGAAATAACTGAATAATAAGGATCGTGTATTTTTGTGTCGAAACGTGTAAAGGTATGTAGCACAATTTTTTGTGAAATTATAAATGTATATCGCTGTCCAATCCCCTTCGCCTTTCAGTGGTTTCGATAGTGTTTAGCTAGTCAGGATTTAATTGGCGGGATCTTCCTCTGTCTAATTTTCTATCTATACAATTATTGAATATGTACAACTTAATAAAATGAAAATGTTCAGGTAGAATAACGTATACATAGAAAAGTTTTGAAGCCGTAAAAATAAGTCACATCATTAGTTACATAATTGTGATGAAAATCTTATCAGGATTACGCAACACATTGACGTCAATAAGAAAAAAAGTATGCATATAGTAAGAGATGAATTTTCAAGCATACATGAAAGGCGGGGAAATTAAGTTCAGTAGTAATTTCAGATATTCCTTGTCGATGAATACCAGTAAGTACAAAACCTAAGTTCATCCATGACTTCTTGTCCTTTACTTTAAATCAATACGATAATAATTGAGAACAATTCACGATGGATAGTTTCCTAGATAATGACCATAGTGGGAACTTGATTGTTAGGATCCACTTTGCAAGAGAGATTTAAGGAGGACACATTATTATTATTATTATTATTATTATTATTATTATTACTCCCTTGGGTTGCGAGTGGAACATAAGGCTTCAACAACACATCTCCACTTTGTTCTGTTTTCTGCCTTCCTCTTCAGCTGGGTCCACGATTGACCATAATCTCTCACATCCACCCCACTACACGATCTCCTCCATGTCACCCTAGAGCGATCAACTCGTTGCTTCTCAATTGGGATTCGACTTGAGCAATGGCCTGGCACGCGGTGTCATTCGATGGCCTGCTCAACGTATGCCCTATCTATCTGCATTTTCTCCTACTTATTTGCTGAGCTATCGGTTCTTGGTTGTTTTTTTACCAGCCAGAGTTTCTTGTTACTAATTCTTTCTGGCTGGTCATTTGATTTTCAGTATAGAGCCAATAAAGGTAGCTAGCTGTTGATAAAGATTTGTTACTTGTTGGAAATTCCTTTTGTGACGCGCACGCCAAGTTTCTGACCCGTGTAGAAGAAGTAACTGACTTCACATTTGTTTTAAATAGAATCCCAATCTTGTTGTTTATGCTGCGGCGGAGTGAAGAAGATTTGTAAACTTGTTTCAGGTTGATAAAGGAATATCTCGCCTTTCCGATTCTGACTTTGACATCTCCTCCCTTTCCGCCTGTGGTTGAAACGATGTTTCCTAGATAAGTGAAGGATGTAACCTTTGTCAAATCTCTCCCGTTGATGGTGATTGGTTCTGGTTGTTGTTGTTGTTGTTGCTGCTGCTGTTCGTTGGTTATCTTTATCACCTCCGTCTTCTCTGTGTTCATAAGTAACAACAATTTTTGTTCCGCGAAGAAATTTCTTTTCAATGACTTCATTTTCAAGCTGTACAGTCGTATTTATATTACAGAAAAAGTTATTCAGTGGCACTAAATAATTGCTCAATCAATATACATATATAAAAGATAAGAATAACGATAATTAAAATGTTATAAGGGGTAGAGTTGAAGTAGATGGATTGCAAAATTATTAAAGATTGTTTTATGAGTGAATTGATACCGAAAATATTTTAAATAAAATTGTCGAACGTTGTCTAAAAATTTTAGAAATTAGGAGTACGATTACGATAAGAATAAAGATGTGAAGTGAAGTGGAATGAATTCAAGTGGTAAAATAAAATAAAAACTTGAAAGAAGATTACTATGACCAAGGTAAAGAAAGGGGTTTCACAAAACGTTTTTAAACGCATAATTTAGGTTTCTGTTCATGTATAGCTAAAGCTTCGGCTATGCATAAGTGAAGAAAACGTAAACTTTTGGAGCGATTCGATTTTGCCATTTTCGATTAACCGTTAAGGATGAATCACATGGGGCTGAATGACCAGACTCTAACAGGTGATCACAAATAGACGACTTTGCAGTTCTACGTTCGACTTTCATTAACCAAACCGGATAGTGTTCAGCTACACGTTTTCGGAGAGTACGCTTACAACGTCCAATATAATCAGCTCCACAGGAGCAAGTAAATGAGTAAATGCACATAGATGAGGACATAAGCAGTAATCTATCCTTGACATAATGTCCAATCATATTTCGGCTGGTAAAAACTAGTTGCAAGTCAGCTTCATGAAAACAGCGTTTAATACATTTAGATAAACGGTTATTAATCAATTCCGAAATGGTGTCACCTTTGAATGCAAGACTCATAAACAGTTTTTTCTTTGGTACTGTGATTTGTCTAGGGGCGGATTCTTTCTTGATGTTACGTTCAATAAACCTTGTAGGATATCCATTGTTAAAGAGATTTGATCGAAGGTTATCTAGTTCCCTATCGACTGTCTCTGTAGAGCAGATTTTACAAATTCTGGAGCATAAGGAATGAATAAGATTTCTCTTTCTCCCTAAAGGTACCCAACTGTTGAAGTTAGTGTACTGTCCTGTGAATGTTGGCTTTCGGTAAATCGACCTTAACAGCGTGCCATTCTCTCTTCTTCTTCTCTCAATGTACACCAACAACACAGATTTAGACGCATGGCATTAGGCACTACCTAGTGTCGAATCAAAATATCTTGTCTTATATAATGCATATTAAAATATATTAAATATTTCCTGAAAAATTGCAATAACGTTCGCCACGAAACTTAACAATCGAAATAACGTCAATATGTTTTCCTCCTTTACGTAGACGTTTCAATGTCACCATAGAAGTCATAATCAATGCCGTTAAGCAGGATATTTATTGACTATAATTCAACTGACAAGTATTTATCATTTTACCATTATTCTCGGTTTTCTTTATTGATCTTCTTTATTTTATTTGTGTAGTTTATATTCATGCATAAGTCTTTATTTTTCTGTCTTTCAGATAAAATGAAGTTAACTGGTGCACATATGTTTATATATACGTCCACGTTATATCGCATAGTTTTTCTTCTGCTTACTACTTGCTTACGATGCGTTTTTAGGTGTTAATCTATTCGGATTTAAGTTCGGTTTTCTGTGGAATTTACCGGCCTACAGTTTCGTGCAAACCATATCACACTTCAGATCTCATCTACAGAAGATATATATATATATATATATATATATATATATATACATGCAGTTACTTGTGAATAGACCACACACATTGTTGCAGTAATAGACTACTGGCGATCAACTACCTTTGAATGCCCTGATTTCTCTTCGATTTCATTTCTTTTACAACTGATTCTCTCTCTCTCTCTGTCCCTCTTTTCCTCTCTCTATCCTATGAAATTTTTGAAATTTATTCTTTCAATATAATCTCCACTGAAAATATGGTGTAGTAGTGATATTCCGCTAGACATTTCATTTTGCTGTGTCTTTCAGTATTTTTTGTTAACATATTGTAAAAGGAAAGATCGAATGAATTCCAAACGACCTATTTATTAGTTTACATTTTAATCAGTTTGTACCAATGTATATTCTCCCGTGTTCCCTCCCCCCACTTTGTCTCGAATTTTTTTCTAAAGTATTGCATTATCATTGTCATGACAAGTTTCTCAATTCTTAAATGGCTGACGTATGTGTATGTATATGCGCGTGCATGTATGCATGCGTGTGTGTATGTGGGTGTGTCTGTTTGTTTGTTTGTTGAAATGTCCAGAATTTCTCAGGACAATCTCATATCCATCTTCTTTCCTTTACCTTGAAAAGATTAATTGAAACTGTAATAATTCCCTTCTCCGTCTTCCTGTCATGTTGTATTCTTTTTCTCTCTGATTTGTTTCTTCTTCTGGGCTGTATCTTCCATTGTTATGCTGTTTTTTGTGGAAAAAATTCGTGAAGATTGTTGATTAAAACAGAAAACGTATATTTTTGTCTCATTATAGTTGTTTCGTTCTTTTGATATTGTGATTATATGATTCATTGGCTTAAGTAGTAGTGTAACAATCGAAGACAAAGGCCAGGTAACAGATCGTTTATTATGGAAATCAACACGTATTTATAGATTTTCAAGTACATATTACAGATTATTGTTAACAGAAAAACAGTCTTCTGATTGGTTGTTTCTCACAGAAAGTTAACCTTGCATCTCTTTGTGACTGTTTCTTGAATATCAGATCATCTATATGTTAACTGTATCCGCCTACGCAAAGCCTTTCTTCTCATTTTTCTCACGACCACTATTGGGAACATAAGCATTGACGTAAACTACTGTTCACCAATTTTGACTAACAGCCAGCTCTCACCACAGTGGTAGCTAGTCGGCTTTCAGGAAAATGGATCCCAGTTCCAAAGCCTGCTCCGCTTACTTCAGCCCCGGAGCAGCGGATGGGGATGAAGCAACTGAAGAGTATTATGTCATCCCTTTTTTAACAATAACTATAGCTCGTATAGGCTGGTACCTGTAACATCTATTTCAGTTGAGTTTTTGATATTCCTAAGAAGTGTCATGAATAAAAGACGTGCAGAATTATGCGATTGGCCTTAAGTTCTATCATCTCTATGTTATATCACTGTAGCATTAAGCGACTATATGGATTTATGGTCTGACCACCGCAATAAATGTTTTCCAAATTAGTTTTCGTAAAGCCAACAAATTTCGTGTTAACGAAATACTCAGTTACTCATTCTGTGTGGTTAACGCATATCCCTACAATTTCGGTGATGAAATTTCATTGGCAAATTGTTATTTTATTTTATTATTTATTAAAACACAAATTTGGTTCATTGTGGGCACCAAGAGATACGCTACACAAAATATTTCAGTGTGTGTATGTGCGACGGTTGGGATACTGCTTGGACGCCTAGACCTAATCAGGTTAATCCCAAACCTTCGAATTGAAGTCACATCCATGAGGCGGTGGAATGGCGTCACCAGCTGCTTTCTAATGGTTTCTGATGACCAAATCACGTTCATGCATATATCGATCCGTTTGGATTTTGGTGCTCTTGTTACACCACAGGTTTGGAATCAGGGTTTAGCAGCTCCTTCCTCTAGGTTGACCTCTATTTCTACAAGTCCAGTTGTGTAAGCGCCGAACTTTCACATTCGTAATTTTACTTTTATAAGGAACACTCCCACTGAGTAAAGATAGTGAATAGGAGTACTACTTACCTGCCAGAGACTATTAACGCATGGTCACAGAAAAGAGCATTTCAAGAGGAAGACCGAAGTGTACCCGTCCGCGGATGTACCAGATCGTTTATAGAGGGAAAGTACGATTGAATTAGTCCTATGTTTATGACTGCAAATCGGTGGGCTCCTTATGTCTTCAACATTCAAAAGCTGATGTGTCACCATCAAAGAGTAGGCTTTTAGTGTCAATTAACACCTTGTAGTTATGATGCTGTACAAATGTATTAAAATTATAGTTGCTGTATCTTTCTCATGAGGTCGTACGTAAGTTGAACAAAGTTCTCGAAATTTTAATTCTTAACACTTCATGTAGTACACAAGAAGGTATGATTACATCTACGTGTAATGAAAAAAGTAACTAATTTCTCACATTCGCATACCAAATACTAGAAATAGCGATTGAATGTATACTGATTTTTAACAAATCGTAAAGATGTCTAGGATGTTTTCTACCCAAGTGGGCGTAAGACTTCAAACTTTTGTAGTTCCAATAACGGTGGCATTGTGTTTACTGGGTAGGATTGCTGGCCTCATGCTCTATCTTTCATCTTATTTTTTCGGGCTTACCACCGACTAGGTAAGGTATAGAAGTGCATCGGACAGAAATCGAATCTGTTCTCCCGCATAGCTGGTGAGCATTCTACCCGTGAACCATCAATGAGCTCTAGGGTTTTTGTTCAAGAAAAATTAACTGACGAAGAATCGATGATAAAAGTCCTAGTCTAAGAATAGAACGATGGTAAATTGCTTAACAGCGTTGATAACATTCCATCAGTCAAAAAGATACTTCTTTTATGTGCTTTTAGGTATTTTTGTTTCTGCATGCTCTAATATCTCAGGTCACTTTTCAATCAGTCGAGTATCCACGTCTTTCCTTATGACCTAATTGTTTCCATAAATATACTGTTGCCTTATCTGCATGGCGGCACTGAAGAATACGACTTTAGTAGTTAATAGAGCTTGACGTTAAATCATGAACTGACATCAGTTAGAAACTAGTTGAAAGCCAGACGATACTGGATGACAGTTTCACCGTAACTCGGTATTTTCAGCACCAAGTACCTATTACAACACCTGAAGTTGAACCCAGGACCTTCGAGTTGGGGTTACATTTAGTTAACTATTCTGCTACTAGGACGGACGCTCCGTCCTCCTTTATGGTTGTGAGACCTGGCCACTGAGAGTGGAAGACATGAAGAGGCTGACTAGCTGTCTTTGATCATAGGTGCCTGCGCTCTATTTCCCGTGTAAAGTGGCATAATAAGGTGAGCAAAATGGAGGTTAGGCGTAGAATTCTAGGTAAACAGGGGAAATCAATCAACGAAGTCGTGAAGTTACAAAGACTGAGATGGTTAGGACATGTGTTGCGTTTGCCAAGTCATTGCCTCCCTCGACTAGCAATGTTAGCGGATATAAGGTCAGGCTGGAAAAAAGCTAGCGGCGGTCAAACCAAAACATGGCTTCATCAGTCAATGAAATCCACAACAGTTGGTCTAAGCCGCGTAGGAAGGTGTAGACTTCCAGGCTGGGGTCCTCGGGACGGTAAAAATCTATGGTTGGTAACAATTGGTGACATGGCTCAAAACCGTTCTCAGTGGCGCAGATGCATCCACTCCTTGTGACCTATGATCTCCAATGAAACTGTTTTGTTCTTCGTTATTACTCTTCCTTTGTCTCACACCTCTGCTTACTGTCTCTATTATGCTTTTCTTGTACTTTCTTCTCTTGCTTCGCGTGCTACACGGAGTGTGGCGACTTGAACTTCCTCATATTTGTGCAAAGTTCTATGTCGAAAACAGACAGACAGGACGGAATCCAATGACCCATGAGTTTTAACTTCTGCCAGTCTTTGCATTAGTGCTCACGCCTGACTTGGTGAAAAACTCTGGTCACAACTCACTAGAAGTCTAGATTACTTAATCTTTTGGTCAGTCACTAGTGATCGTTGGGTTTATTTTCAGGTGTATTATTATTGTTATTCCCTCGAGTTCCGAGTGGAGCATAGTGTTTCAACAGCGCATCTCCAATTCATCGTGATCTCTGAAGTCCTCTTTGGCCGGATCTGCGGTTGCTTATATAACCTTTCATTTTCTCTTCACATAGTCTCATCCATGTCACCCTCAGACCAATGCCCAACTCGTTTCCCAGCATGGCTGTAATCGGCGGCCTGGCTTACGATACCAACTAACAGTCTCCTCAACCGGTGTCCGACCCATCTCCATTTTCTTTGGGATATTTGTTGAACAATGAACTCTTGGTTGGTTCGTTTCCAGCCAGAATTTCTCGTTGTTAATCCTCTCTCATCATCTTATCTTCAGTATCGAGACTAAACAAGTGTTGCTGAAAGTCTGTCTGTAATGCATTTTGTGACGCGCCAAGTCGCTGACCCATATATAGCAACCGACTTAACATTGGTGTTGAAAATCCGAATTATGCTGTTTATGCTGAATGCAGCAAATTTGTACAATGATTTCAGAATGATGACGGTCTGTTTTGCCTTTCCTATCCTGGCTTTAACATCTTCACGCGTGCCGCCTGTAGCTGAAACAACGCTGCCTAAATAAGTGAAGCAAATGACCTCTTTCAAATTTGTTCCTTTGATAGCTATTGGTGCTTATTGATTTTGTTGCTTCGATGTCTTTATCACCTCTACCTTCTCTACGTTCACTTGAAGTCCAGTCTTCGCTGTCCGCCTTTTCCACCAATTTGTTGGTTTGTGCCTGTGGATCTTCGAGTTTAAACGACATTAGAAGCAAATTGTCCACGAAATCTAGATCTTCTAGAGTTTTCTTATCAGTTCAACATATTCCTGTCTTTTCGCTCCCTACAGTCCGACTCATGATCCAGTCCATCGCAATCAGGAATATCGTCGGTGATAGTGAGCAGCCTTGTTTTACTTCTGTCTTCACTTCAAAAGTTTCGCCGAGTTTTTCTCTATGGACCAATTGACATGTGGCACTGTCATAAAGGTGTTTATTGAGGTTGATTTACTTTATTCT